GCGGCCCCAGCAACATCTAGCTGATTGGCTCCTCGGCCCCAGCAACATCTAGCTGATTGGCTCCTCTGCGGTGATGCTCATTGGGCTGTTTCCCTGCCCTTTCAGACCATGGAGCTGCTCATTGGGGGACTTTTTTGGCTCCGCCCACATGACCCAGCCAATCGGCCTCAAGAGCAGGAGGATTGTGGGAGGTGGAGAGAAGCTTGTGTGGGAGAGAGAGGCTTGTGGAAAGCCGGTGGTAGCAGTTGAGGCTCTGAGGGTTTTTCCTGAGAGGCTGTTTTGTTTGGCGTGTGTGGTTCTAAAAATAAAGTTAGTTTCTTTTGACAAGTGGCTCCTGATTGTGCCCAGCCAGACTGCGGCAGGAATGTCTTTAGCAATCTCTGGCTATGGCAAGGATGGGAAGCATGAAGGCGATCTCAACAACAAGATGACAGGGGATGCTCAGCAGCCTCGCTCAGAGGGATACAGTCTATCCGGTGACCTGGGCCACAGAGGCGTTTCTCAAGCCTGTCACCTTCCAGATAGGAAAGACAGAGCAGTTGATGTTTCACTGTGTTTAGCTAACATCCACTGAGCATGGCAGGCATTGTGCTTGGTCCTTAATTTACGTATACCATGTCATCCAACCTGCACTACAAGTGCCCTAGGAAACAGGCATAATGACTATCCAATTTTGCACATCAGGAAACTGAGAGAAGTTATGGATGTGTGTGTGGTTATGGATATATGTGTGGTTATATAAGAAACACAATAAGTAGCAACATCAGGACTCAATCCCAGGCCTGTCTGGGCTTAAATAATGCAGTCTTATGCATTAGATTGCCTTTGCCTTGAACACAGTGATAAGGAGCAGGAGATTCAAAACACAAGTGCCTATTATACAAACTTGCTTAGCCAGAGTCTCTGTGGCTAAGACTCATGGACAGTGGAGGATTTCCATCTCCACCTGTGTTCAAATATAGTAAGTCCTGGCCTGCATGTCCAGTACCTTATTTTGCTTCCTTGATGGTGCTCTCTCCCCTTTTTTAGAAGTGGAGAGCCATCTGTTGCATAGTTATCACAGCCCTGGGCCAGAGGAAGACTATTTCCCGCCCTCAGCCAGGCACAGGGTACCTAGTTACACAGTTCATCAGGGAATGGCGTTTTGTCTTGCAGCTGGAGGAGCATTTTATTTGTACTTTAGAATCTAACTGAAGGATGGCTCAGGTGTGATTTTCCTCCCACATTTTTCCCCCCTCAATTTTAATGACCATTTAAAATGGCAATAGTTTTGCCTTTCAGTTTGAGAAGTGCTGTAAGGTGACCCAATAAACAGTTTGGGATTGTCAGCAGCCACCTCCCAAGAGAAAAAAAAAATGAAAACATAGGCCTCTGCTCCTTGAATCTAAATAACAGAAATGTTTACAAAATTTTTGTCATCCCAAATGATCAGAAATTTTTTTCACAACCAATTACATATGTATCTGTGCTATATATTTACTTACCGGGTAGAACATTATGTTAATTATCTGAAGATATATATATATATATATATAGCATTTCAATATATGCAAATTGCATACAGCTTTCCATATTATTCATTTAAACAAATACATTGAAGACCTCGGTGACAGGAAGAAATCAAAATATTTAAGTTGACTCCAAGAGGTTAAGAATCTTGTTGTAATTCTTCATAACAAGACCCAGATATACCAGGATATTTTGGGTTTTAGTGGAATCATACTACCAATACCCTGCTTCTCTTCATAAACCAGTATGATTCATCAGCCTCCTACCAATAGGACAGGCGTGTGCTTTCATTCCTTTGCTGCACTGGTGATGGTTTGGTAGCTCACCTTACACAGGCAAGAACATACTCACAAGTAAGGTTCAGAGAAACACTGTACCATTACTAGTTCTTCTTTGTTGTACAGATGAAAACAATTAAGGCAGCATAGTCTTGATTTTTTCAGGTATGAATGTAGGATAACGTGGAGGTGTACAATCCAATGATTCACAGATTCTCTGTGCTTTTTTTCCCCCTCCTGCATTGGGGATAGAACCCAGAGCCTCACACATGCTAGGCAAGCACTCTACCACTGAGCTACATCCCCAGCCCCTTTAATGAATTAATTGATGAACTTTCTTATTTATTACTTTTTGTGGTAAACAGAATTGAACCCAGGGGTGCTCTACCCCTGAGTTACATCCCCAGCTGTTTTTATTTTTTATTTTGATATACGAGTTTTACTATGTTCCACAAGTTGGCCTTCAATTTGCAATTCTGCTGCCTCAGCCTCCCAAGTAGGTGGAATTACAGGCTGGGGATGTGGGCTCTTGGCACTTTTTTGGCAAGTACCATGGATTGAACTCAGGGGCACTCAACCACTGAGCCACATCCCCAGCCTTATTTTCTATTTAATTTAGAGACAGGGTCTCACTGAGTTGCTTAGCGCCTCACCATTGCTGAGGCTGGCTTTGAACTCTTAATCCTCCTGCCTCAGCCTCCTGATCATCTGGAATTACAGGCATGCACCACTGTGCCCAGTTTGTGAACTATATTTTATTTTGTAAACTTTTTCAAAGTTGCACTTGATGTATTGTAATTACTCTTGATTATTATCCATGTTAGCCAGAAAATATTTAAAGATCACAAAAACATGTTTGTCACATCTGTGAGAGCTTACACCGTTAAGCACTAAGAGCTGTTCATTTTGAGTTTTTTCAAGAAGAAAATAATGCTGGAATTTAAAAAACAACCATGTGACTTTTCTCTATTCGGTTTTGTTTGTTTGTTTGTTTGTCATTATATACCTTAATGGCGTGGTGTAAATTTGAATATGTCAACTGAAATGAGCTTTTTTTCTGCCTACTAGAAAAAGAATCCTGAGCAAGATCAAGTTTATTTCAATTTAGAAAACATTTATCAAAAGTCTAAAAAAAAGGACTAGGTTAGGTGCTATAGGTAAGAATAAAGAGAAGCAGAATCTTAGTGGGGAGATAAAACAATACAGAAATGACAATAAATTAGAGGATGACAGTTATTTATATGAGGGAGGAGACTGCAGCTGGAAAAGGAGGATATTTGAGAAGTTGTTACTAGAAGGTGGTATTTAAATATTTTTAGATTTATTTTTAATTGGCAAATAATAGTTGCGTGTGTTTGTAGGGTATAATGTGTCATTGTGATATACATATACATTGTGAGATGGTCAAGTCAGTTAAATTCATCACCTCACATATTAATCTTTTTTCTGTGCTGAAAACATTAAATATAACCTTTTAGCAATTTTGAAACATACAGGTACTTATTCACTATTCAATGCAATAGATCTCTAGAGCTTTCTTCTAACTGAAACTTTGCACTTTGATCAACATTTCTCCCTTCCCCATCCGTCCTCTCCCCTGTCTTTGGTGACCACCATTCTCTACCTCTATGAGGTAGAGAATGGTGGTCATGTAAAGTGACATCCACATGTCTACATACATCCACATGTAAGTGACATCATGCAGCATTTGTCTTTGTGTGCCTGGCTTGTTTCACTTCGTATGATGTCCTCCAGGTTCATCCATGCTGTAACAAATGACAGGATTTCCTTCTTTTTTAAGGCTGAATAGTATTTCACTGCTCATGTGTACCGCATTTTCTTTATACATTTATTTGAAAATGAATACTGAATTTGGTTCCATATTAGCTCTTGTGGATAACGAATATGGGAGTGCAGACATTCCCTTGGCATACTGATTTTAATTATTTTGGTCATATACCCAGAAGTGGCATTTCTAAATCATATGATAATTTCATTTTCAGTTATTTGAGGAACCTCCAGACTGCTTTCCATAATGGCTGTGCTAATTTACATTCCCACCATCAGTGTACAAGGGTTTTCCTTTCTTCATATCCTTGCCAATGTGTGTTATCTTTCATCTTTTTGATAATACCCATTCTAACATGTGTGAGGTAGTATATTTGTGGTTTTAATTTGCATTTTCTTGAGGATTAGTGGTGATGGATACTTTTTCATTATATCTGTTGTTCTTTTATAGGTCTTCTTTTAAGAAATTTCTATCTAGGTCCTTCATCCACATTTTGATTAGGTAGTTTCTTTTCTTGCTATTTAGTTATTTAGGTTAGGAGGTGGATTTGATATCATTACAGTTAAGAATTCCTCCAGACCATAACCTCCTTGAAGGAGCCACTTACAGTTGGATCAGGCTCCATTCATTTCTGTTTGGGGTATTACTTCTTTTCCACATCCTTCCTGCTTTCCTTGCTAAAAGAAGAGAATAATACACAGGAAAATACTCTTTTTCCCAAGTGCAAAATTATTTTTTGGTCTAGAGCCAATAGAGTAGAGAGACTATGTACAAAATACTATAGTCAAGGTAGGAGCATGGTACATGTTACCAGAAAGTGATATAAAATTTGCAAGATTTTAAAGGGATCACTCAAAAAAAAAAAAAAAAAAAAGTTGGCAAGGAGTCATGTGAAGAGGAGGAAAAGCCAGAATGTGTGTGTTACCCACCTACTATAGTTATGGTGTTGTAAAAAGATCAGTCCAAAAGACCTTGTTTTATTTATTTAATCACTCTCTAAAATGTTTGAATGCAAGTGCAGAAATAAAGGTATTTATGAAGTCAGACTTGTAAATGCCAGGAAGTAGTAAAGAATGCCAACTTAATCTCTGCTACCTGTGTGAGTCCTCAGGGAAAGGTGAGCTCATGAATGCATAAATACAGATCATTACAAGGCTGAATTAAAATACATTAAATATGGAAGTCAGATATAAACCCCTGAGGGTTATCCAACATAAAAAGAATAGTTGAAGAACAACCTGAAGCTTTAAAAAGGGGGGAAACCTAAGATCCTCACTGGCTGGGGAAAACAGTTACTAAACATCCTTCAAGAAAAGCACCTTATATAAAGCTTGGTGTTTGAAAGCCCTAGCACCTCACTGATCCAAATGAATGAAAACATAGGAGGAGGGACTTGCTTTATCTTCTATTTGTGGTCTCCACAGCCCCTGGACCCAGGAAGCTTCAATAATTGTTAACCGAGTTGGAGTGAGCTGAAATAAAGAGGTAGAGATCCTAAGCCTCCTACTGAAATCTTCCTTAAAGGGTAAGTTTTGTTTATTTACTATTCCTTCTAGGGTATAGTTACTTAGCAAAGTGTACGCTATTAGGTAAACATTTGGACATTTCTTTTACCATTTTATTTTTGGTTAACAATTTCTTCAGTCATACAGGGATCAGAGCAAATAGAGACAGACATCTCCCCATGTACCCCAGAAATTGCATGTGCAGGAGTGTAACCTTCAATGTATTAATGAATTAATATTAGTAGAAGATTCAGTGGGGACAAAAAGAAAGAAGTTAAAGACCTTAAAATAGAAGGTAATAGCTACCAATGAAAAGAAAGAAAAAGGTTCATATAAAGGAATTTTTTTTTTAAAGTGAACTAAAATTGAGAGAATGCTGAGACAATGGAAAACATTAAAAATGGAGAAGCAGGAACAGGAAGGACATTTTACATGCACAGCCAGATTGGTTTGTGAACCAAAATGTGGACCAAGGATTGTATGCAGGGATCAGTTGGAAATTGTTCTGAAAAATAAGCCAAAATAAAGGAAAAAAGATGTTTGCCCTCAAAAAAATGAGCCAGAATAGTCACTCCTTTTGACAGGAAATGACCACTTTTAAAGACATTGAAAGGATAACTACAAAAGTAAGAAGCAAGCAGTTAGAGTGAACAATTTGGAATAATGGAAGGGAAAAAATGGGCACAGGTCCACATTATTAAAATTATAAGAAAGTCTATTTACTGCAATAATTGCCATGAACAAAGTAAGGCAAACAAAACCTTTGGTTTTTTGTTTTTTTTTTTTCCTTAAAATCTCAAACCTGAACCTAATCAGACGTGTTTGCAATTAATGGAGATTAACTGATTGCCTGCAAGTAGGTTTAGGATCACAAACAAACTCATCCAAGGTAATTCTAAAGGAGAAATGAAACCACCACAAACCTGAAATTATTTTTTTTATTGGAATACTTTTATTCTATGATATAACTTTAAAATCTGAAAGGCTCAGCATTAGTCTTAATGCTAAGAAGAAAATAACAAAGCATAGGACCTTGGAATTCTTCATGGCTTTGACTGCAAAGGATCATTAACAAGAAAGGTCCAGATATAGTTATTTCAGTAACAGGGTATAACTTAATTTAAAAATAAATAAAATAATTTCAGCCTAATTTTCATCTAAAAGTAAGACATTAAGAATTTGAATCTTGTTCAGAGTTTTTCTTTCACATGAGAAACTAAAATAAAATGAGAGAAGAGAAATCCCGGAAGAAATGTTTCCAGTGAGCTTTTTGATTTTATGGTGCAAAGAGCTGGTCATCAGAGTGTAATTTTTCTAATAGTTGAACTTTAGTCCGCTCATTTAGGTTTCATCTTGTATAAGCAGAACATCCTGTATGTGCAGGTTCTTTGAAGTGATTCCATATTTGGGGTCAGTTATGCCATGAAAGGCTTTATGCTTGCTTTTTGGTATTTGTGGAATAACAGAAATATTAGCCAATTTGCCTTTAAGCTAAAGACAAGCAAATGTAATTCGGTATCCAACATTTTAATTTTTTGAGTTATGTATCATTTGGTATTTTAACCATCCTTTGTACTGACTTTGCTTTGTACAATATTATCTTGAGTAAATTTTATCTTTTCTTCAAGTATTTGAATCCATAATGACAATGATGTAGATGCTTACACATGCTTTGAGATGGTGGTGGTGGTGGTGGTGTATGTGTGTGATTTATGTAGAAAATCAACATTTATGTCATATGCATCTATTTGGAAATGTGCCCCTTACACATCCAGGCATGTTTTATGCCACACAAAAAGAAGTAATCAGCCTCGCCCCCAAGGAGATTATTATTTCAGTTGATTTAATTTACTGTATATAAGAGCATCTTAGCTCTGAGGATTGAGAGTAAGCATCTTGCCTGAGTAACAGTTAGAAAAAAGTGATTTTGGAGTTAGATGGATCTGAGCTTGAACCCTGTCTGTGCATATTAGTATCTTTGTTCCTTATAATCAGAAATATCAAATTGTGGTTAGGTGTGGTGGTGCACACCTATAATCCTAGCTATTTGGGAGGCTGAGGCAGGATGTGGCAACTTAGTGAGAGCTGTCTCAAAGAATAAAAAGGATGGGGGAATGTAGCTCCATGGTACCATGTTAGAGTGCCTCTGAGTTCAATTTCCAGTTTTAAAAAAAATAGTGAGAGAGATTTCAACATGTAAAATGGGAAAAAAATGAAGATATTAGTTTTTACCTTACAGAGATGTCATGAGAGTTAAATGCAGTTATGTTTATAAAACAACAAACACATATGTAAGTCCTCAATTTTTCATTCTCCTCCTTGCATATACATTTATCTAAATTAATGCTGGGGATTAGCATAGACCATAGTTGTCTGCATTAATTTTAATCTAAGATTTCTAATCAATTTCATGAAGATATTCAGGTTCTAATTGGCGATACTTTGGGTGGTTAAACAAGGCAGCTACCTAGCAGTTAGAAATTCAGGCATGAGGAAGCAATGCCAGGGCATGATCTCCAGGGCCCAGTTGACATCCTTCCACACAGTTCTTCACCAGTCAGCATCTACTATTCAAAATGACCTCCTAAGGGCTGGGGACTTACAGAGGGAGAATATGCTGAAAAAGCCTGGAAAAATAGTTTAAAAAAAGAAAACTAGGTAAGAAGATAAGAATTTATTTTTGTCAAAATGCGTGGGGAACATTTTTTTTAAAGGCACAGATGGGGCTGTGGGTGTAGCTCAGTGGTAGAGCACTTGCCTAGCATGTGCAAGGCCCTTGATCAGATCCCCAGCATTGCAAAATATAAATAAGATAAATTATTTCAAAAGTATTTCACTATAAATAAATACTGGGGTTTCTTACTTTTCTGCTCCTAACTTCCAAGACCTTTAGTTTTGCCCAGAGAACACAAAGGAAAGCCTAACACCACCACTACCACTATACACGTGCACACAGGCGCGTGCGCGAACACACAGACACACACACACACACACACACACACACCCCACATACCACTCAGACAATCTTTCCGTCTTTTTCTTTCTGCTGAACAGTATTGAAAAGCCACACTTTCAGTTCTCTACCTGAAACCCAAATAATTTTCTCTTCATCCTCCTGGTCACTCTGCAAGAATATCCTTCAAAATAAAATCAGAGTAATTGCAGATGCCTGCAACCTTAGAGGAGATAAAGATATCCATAATCAGAAAACTCCAACTGTAACAATAGTCCTCAAAACCTGCTAGATTTTTTGGACTCTTTATAGTCATTTAATCCCCTCCTCTTGCCATTTCCCATGTCTATTGAAAAAGAATAAATAAGGGCTGGGGATATAGAGTGCCTGACTTGCATGTACAAGGCACTGGGTTCAATCCCCAACACCACAAAAATAAATAAATAAATAAATAAACAAACAATAAAAGAAAATAGATTGGTCTTTCAACTCCTGGATGAGAGAGAATTTTTAAAATGAGACCATCACTTCTGTTGAATCTATTAGTGTTTTGGTGGTGGCTTTCTAATTTCTTTTTCATTACTGGTAGTTTGAACCTAAGGGTGCTCTACTGCTTCACTACATCCCACCCATTTTCACTTTTATTTTGAGATGGGGCCTTGCCTTTCCCAGGGTGACCTCCAATTTGCAGTCATCTTGCCTCTGCCTTCCCAATGGCTAGGAGTATTTGAGATGATAGGTGTATGCCACTGTGCCCTGTCTTATTTGTCTCCCTTCCCTCCCCACTGTGAATTTTCTTTTAATTTTATTACAAAAAATAAAATTGCAATAAAATAGACCCATGCATTTTTTGAAATGGTAGTGGTGCTAGGGATCAAACCCAGTGTCTCTTGCTTGGGTGAACTACCTTGAAGCCTATATCCCCAACCCTCACAAATTTTTTACATAGTGAGGTACTTCACTCAAATAAAAATCTAGGCTATTTTTAGTACTCAGAAGTCTCTCTGATGCCCCTTCCCAATCAATAATCCCTCCCTGGTAAACACTTTGCCTGATTTTTAACTTCATTTAAGTGGAACCATAAACTACATATGTACTTTCTTGTGTCCAGGGGATTTTGGTCAAGATGAAGCCAATGAGATTCATCCACATTGTTCCTCATGTCCATAATTTGTTCATCTGTCATATAGTATTCTGTTGCATGAATATACTGCAATTTATCCTTCCCTATTGATGAGTATTTGTGTTGGTTTCAACATTTTGATATCATATATAAATCTGCCTTTAAAATCTCCACTGTGGATTTTTTTTTTTTTTAAGTAGTATTCTGGAGAGGATTTTCAGGTACCCTGCTAGTGTGTGTGTCTATGTGTGTGTTACTGATGATTGAAACCAGAAGTGTTCTGCCTCTGAGCTACATCCCCAGCCCTTTTAATTTTTATTTTGAGACAGGGTCTCACTGAATTTCAGATGCTGACCTTGAATTTGGATCCTCCTGCCTCAGCCCAAGAAGCAGGATCACATGTTCATGTAGCAGGGAAACAGGCATGAACCACAGGGCCTTGTGTCACCCCACTGATCTTGCTCCATATTTTTTATTCTGGTGACATCAGAATTCAAAAGAAAGTAGAATTCCATTTTTTGCCAAAATTGAAATAAAATGAGAGAGAGAGAAAGAGGGAGAGGAAGAAAGAGGGAGAAGAAGAAAGAGGGAGAAAAGAACAAGGGAGGAAAAGAAAATGTATGGGCATGTTAGTATAAAATCTTAAAACTCATAATTCCCATTTTATAGTGATATCTGATCATCTTAATTTGCAATGGCTAAATAAGTAATGCTTACATGATTACAGACTTCTCTACTTCACTTTTGGAAACACTCCATACCCCCTGGAAATTTAAAGAGATATATCATATCCCTTTAAGAAGTGGTAAAATCACAGTGTCAAGTGCAAGTTCTAGGACCAAGCTCCCTAGGCAGTTTGGTTGACTTTGAGTTTTGTTTTGTTTTTTTAAGTTTTTTAGTTGTCAATGGACCTTTATTTTATTTATATATATGCAATGCTGAGA